GGTTGATGAAGGCCAGGCAAAAGTGAGGTGACATCACAAACATCAGAATTTAGAAATATAGTAATTTATAGGACTGAGCTACCTAACCATCTATGGTCTGGATAATGTGACCATCGTGTCATGAAATAATTTGGCTTGAGGGCAGATGACTTGAACATGCTGTCATGGGAAAATTTGGCCGTGTCCCGGGGTGATGCAAACTTGCTATCACGAGCATTTCTGTTGAAGGCTGGGTGATAGGAAAGACTTGCCTTGAGTGCACAAAGCTCTTGGAGGATGATTAAACTCATTTGGCATTTAGTATATGGCTTTTGCATTATTTACATTGATAAATAAGTGTGGAATGTAATGTCCGTGAGCCATGGCTAGAACAGTGCTGGCTGCAGAGAGGACGCTATTTCCATGCTCAGGATCCTATTCCTGGCAGCCATGACTGGCGGCCTAGGTTGCATTACAGAAAATTAGTATGAAAAAATATAAGAATACACAAATAACAAAATGTTACTGCTTACTTACTGCTCTATTATTGCACTGAATTGTAACTACCTTGAGAGATGATATGGTGTCTGTGCAAGGAAAACATTTTATTATCATCTAGATAAAGTAAATGAAATGACAAATATAGACATTAGAAAATAGCCCCCCCCCCCTAAAAAAAAAAAGAAAATGCATTTACTGAAAAATAGAGAATAAAATTCCAAATGGGAGGTATGGAGCATTGTCACTGCACACAAGTGTTTGTTTGCACCCTGCCTACAGACTGCATACCTGTCAGAGTGTCCGCTCACATAAACCTAATGCTTGTATTTTGGGTCACATAATGGCAGTAAAGCATCTGAATCCAATGGGTTAATCTTAGGATGTGTTAAATAGTTTCACAGGGAAAATATTGGTGAAGAATTATGAATAAATAAGTTATGTAAAGGTAATTAGAATTGATTAGTGAAATTCATTATAGTGGTCCTTAGCTTATTACACATTTCAGCAAGTTTGTTGATAGTTTTTAGGAAGGATTCATGCTAAAGCTGTTGGATATTGTATTGTATATTTTCACTTTTGAGATGGTCTCTTCAACTCTTTTGACAATATATGAGTACCATTAACCACCTGCCCTAGTATAACCTTTCTGATCAGATTTACTAATGTAAGTCATGAATGGGGTTATATAATAGAATACTTTGTTTTGTCTCATTATGTGGCATATAGTGGGACAGAGTTATGTTTTGGCATTGTTAACTTCATCACAGTTATCACCATTATCATCAATAAGCTTTTTAAGGTCACAAGAGTGAGTTCCTTATGAACTCCATGGGATCAAATGTAAATATCTCTTTATTTTATGGAATGTTGACTAGAAAGCTAGTCTTGACATAGTATAGGTTTCAGTGTCATCTAAGTGACATGGGAAGCACCTGAGTCATATTAAACTTTGGTCACCTCACTTTCTGCTTTTAAGAAATGGTCTTTGTTTTACATCTCAAACATAATTTTAAAAAACTAGATTGCTAGCTGAATGTTGGTAGTACAGAGTGTGCTTTATACTGGTACATGTGATGTTGAATGTCCCCTAGCCATAGTAACTGTTCCTTGTTTTGTTTAGTGTCCTAGTGACTTGCAGCCATGTTTTCCTTATTATGCTAGCTGTGGAATGGCTCATACCCAAGCTGCTTTTTCCAGAAGTTATGTGATAGAATTTATGTTTTTTCTCTTTTCATAGAGCCCTTGTTTCAGAAATATTGTCTTGTTTAGTCTTTTTATTTTTTATTAATATCAACTTACCAAATGATGCATGTGAGTAGTATTTTTTTTTAATGAATAATTAGTTTACTTGCATGAGTGATGAGTCTGATAGGTGTGGTGATCCATCCTGAGAATGACGTGTATGTTGTGAAAGTAGAGTGAGAGCCTTTATGTAGTGAGTTGATGAGTGTTGCCGCAGCACGAGGCCGACCTGGGAGAGCTATGCCGGCAGCTGGGCCACTTCCTCAAGGCCGAACGACAGTTGAGGACAGATGAAGTAACAGCTCTTAGGGAAAAACTAGAGCATATCATCCTCACAGCCGCCAACATGCAAGGTAATGAGCCCACACTACTACTGCGGCCAGGCATGCTGTGCTGGTCAGCATGGAAAGGGTGACAGTCAGCAGAACAAAAGTTGTATGCCAGTATGGTATGCATGCACTGGAAAGCAGGAGGAGGATATTTTTTCAGTGTATATAAGTGACTTGAGTTGTTGGCTGGTGTCAACATATAGACCAATGGAAAAACCTTAAATTGGGTTCATTATTTTCAAAACTGTATTCATAGTAATATGCCAAGTTTAAGAGTATATACCATCTCAAGTCTGTTTAATTTTTATGAATGCAGTTTTGAAACTGGGTTTTTGCATCTCTTCTTCAGCACTCACTCAAGAGGCTGGCATTTGGTTGCAAACTTGATTAGTGTTTAGTAGTTAATTTATCCAAGGCTTATGTTATTCTTAACCTCCCCATGCCTTTTCTGCTTCATATATTTAATTTGGATGTTGGAGATTGAATCTGCTTGATTTGCTTGCTTCTCTTTTGCTTATTAATGTAGTTGTGTGGTTATCCATCTTGCTTGTATAACATGCAATATTCTGGCATTAATTTGTATTGCATGAATAGTTTAATCTGTGTGCTTCTGATTAGTAGTCAAGAAAATCACCAATACTTTGTGAAAGAATTTTACTTTTTGCTTTGAAATTAACATTAGACACAAAAATACATTTTCAAAAGTCTTAGAATAAAAATAATTTTCAGAATTGATTTCTTAACAAAATTCACCAAACAATTACCCTCTGCCTGCAATTTTTTTCATTTTTAATCTTTTAATATAAAAAGTACACACGACTCCTTCATTGCTGAAACTCCAAGTGCTCTTATAACCTAAGATTACCTCAGCTTTCTAACCTTCACAGAGCAGCGCAGTGACACCAATACAGGGAACGACACAGACACAAAGTCTCCATTGCGAAGAGGGGCGAGTTTGAGCTCGGCACGGGGGAAAGGTAGGAGGAACCTTGTTAGACATGGTGGAAATTTGAATATAGTGTTAAAGCTTGAAGGAGATTTAGATGGAACAGTAAGTTCATGGAATAGTACATACGTTTTCAGAGTGCAGTAGATGTGAGGGAGAGTTGTGTGAATCTACCTGCAATTTTTCCAGAAATGTGTGAGGTGAAACATGTCTTTGTCTGTAGTTTTCTCAGAAGGCCACTGACCTTTGTTCTCATGAAATTTGCCTTTGTTATATGTGAAATCTATCCATGAGCTGGAGGTGAATATCTTTTGTAGGATGAAAAATTCACAGGATTTTATGGAAAGCTGTATTTTTTCCTTAAATTTTGATGGAGTTCATTGTGTTTTGAACATAACTACCAGGAGACTGAGAGATTGCTGTCTTTATTGACTTTAACACATGCTCAGTGCATGATGAGATATGAGAGATGATGTGTCGGAAGAAGTGAGGATCAGAACAATGTTTTCCATGCCAAAAGAAAAAATAATAGACAGAAAGTCCTTAGTCTTCAGTCCATTCTGAAGAAGTGAGAAACAAAAGGTCTGTTTTAAAGTTCTTGTATCTTTATTATATCCTTGAGGCCTGTAAATTTGTAATATGTAAAACATTTGTGAGAAATTAGACCTTCCTCACCCAGTATGTTCATTTGTGTAAGTTCCTGTTACAGATGAGTTAAGGTTTTATAATATACATTAGAGAATCACAGTATTTATGTTTGAAATTGCCTACAAGTTACATAATGAGACACTTGATGTCCTCACAACCTTTCCTGCTATTAGGGCTAATGCACATCATTTCATTACTATACATAAAAAGTACATTGAATACTAGAAAGGCTATATTTCTATTAGCTATTGACTCAAAAGGAATTCTGGGAAAATGTTTCATATCGAAGTAGGGTCACATTAAATTGAAATTTCCTTTTTTATCTTGTGTGTACATGTGTGTGTGTGTGTGTGTGTGTGTGTGTGTGTGTGTGTGTGTGTGTGTGTGTGTGTGTGTGTGTGTGTGTGTGTGTGTGTGTGTGTGTGTGTGTGTTGCATTGTGTGCATGCTTAGATGCAAGGCAGATATATGGGCAGTTATATATGTGTGTATATTTATATACTATTATTTCTTCATTAAAAAAAAGAGCAAACACCTAATTTCCAAATGCTATACTAGCTTAATTGTTCATAACAAAGCTGAAGTGAGTGCTTTGCCTTTACTTGCAGACAGTTTGATCCATTAGTGCTTTTGAATATAGCAGAGAAGGGAAGGGACTTTTTCACCTTCATAATGGCTTTTCTTAGTTACTTAGTCCTTGCTAGTAGTTGGGAGAAACATCTATTGGGTGCTCTTTATTATGATAACAGGTCACATATTTTAGAAAATGACTTTTTATTTTGGCATTATTTTATATTTTTCAGTTAATCTTTTCTTCATTTTGGGACACAATGTATCATCAAATATGAAATAAAATTTTGGTATTTTTTTTTTATTGCAACCAGAGGCAGAAGGGTCATCAAACTTTAAGAGTATTAGAAGAAAAGAGCTAAGCAACAATTGTGTTTCATGATTAGATTATTTTAGCCTTGATTTATAGAAAATTTTCACATTTTTCATATTGCCATCTTTGTGATAAATCTTCAAAACTAATGGTTTCCACAATTTTTGCAGAGTTGATGCGTTCTCCGAGTTGCCCTCGTTTGTCTGGCTTCTCGTCTTTTTTAGCGGTTGGCCCCTCTCTGGGGGGAACGGGGCCACCAGCACAGACCATGGCAGACCTTCCCTCCCCCCTAGCAGGGATGGTTGCTTCTCGGAAGAAGGTGTTCGAGACATCCAAGGCTTTCACGGAAAACATATAGAGGGAGAGACTGCTGCTGGTGTAAATAATGATGGAGAGCACAGCATTGCGTTAGAGTCAGTCATGGAGGAAGAACATGAAGAAAATGCTGAAGGAGATTGTAAATTTAAACTTGAGGATGATGATGTAGTTTGCCAAGAAGTGCAGAAGGCTGGAGTAGTACAAAAGATGGTTCGAAAATTCAGTCATCGTGGAATGAAAACAAAATGCAGCTTTAGTGCGGCGAAATACTGTTGCTCGTTGCACGTAAAGTGTGTGTGTGTGTGTGTGTGTGTGTGTGTGTGTGTGTGTGTGTGTGTGTGTGTGTGTGTGTGTGTGTGTGTGTGTGTGTGTGTGTGTGTGGTTGCATTGTGTGCATGCTTAGATGCAAGGCAGATATATGGGCAGTTATATATGTGTGTATATTTATATACTATTATTTCTTCATTAAAAAAAAGAGCAAACACCTAATTTCCAAATGCTATACTAGCTTAATTGTTCATAACAAAGCTGAAGTGAGTGCTTTGCCTTTACTTGCAGACAGTTTGATCCATTAGTGCTTTTGAATATAGCAGAGAAGGGAAGGGACTTTTTCACCTTCATAATGGCTTTTCTTAGTTACTTAGTCCTTGCTAGTAGTTGGGAGAAACATCTATTGGGTGCTCTTTATTATGATAACAGGTCACATATTTTAGAAAATGACTTTTTATTTTGGCATTATTTAAATTTTTCAGTTAATCTTTTCTTCATTTTGGGACACAATGTATCATCAAATATGATTTTTTTTTTTTTTTTTTTTTTTTTTTTATTGCAACCAGAGGCAGAAGGGTCATCAAACTTTAAGAGTATTAGAAGAAAAGAGCTAAGCAACAATTGTGTTTCATGATTAGATTATTTTAGCCTTGATTTATAGAAAATTTTCACATTTTTCATATTGCCATCTTTGTGATAAATCTTCAAAACTAATGGTTTCCACAATTTTTGCAGAGTTGATGCGTTCTCCGAGTTGCCCTCGTTTGTCTGGCTTCTCGTCTTTTTTAGCGGTTGGCCCCTCTCTGGGGGGAACGGGGCCACCAGCACAGACTATGGCAGACCTTCCCTCCCCCCTAGCAGGGATGGTTGCTTCTCGGAAGAAGGTGTTCGAGACATCCAAGGCTTTCACGGAAAACATATAGAGGGAGAGACTGCTGCTGGTGTAAATAATGATGGAGAGCACAGCATTGCGTTAGAGTCAGTCATGGAGGAAGAAAATGAAGAAAATGCTGAAGGAGATTGTAAATTTAAACTTGAGGATGATGAAGTAGTTTGCCAAGAAGTGCAGAAGGCTGGAGTAGTACAAAAGATGGTTCGAAAATTCAGTCATCGTGGAATGAAACAAATGCCGCTTTTAGTGCGGCGAAATACTGTTGCTCGTTGCACTAACTTTGCAAATGATGTCAGAGTTGGTAAATCAAGCGCCTTGCGACAAAGTAGTCAGGTTATATGGGATGATGATATTACAGGTGCTGATGCTGCCACAGACCATGAATTTTCATCTCTAATGAAAAGAGTAAATGATATTAAACTTGAGGGGAGATCTCCCACAAAGGAGGACAGCATGCAAGGTGAGACTTCATCACTGAGCCGTGGATCAGCATCAAGAATGTCCTTGCCATCAGGAGCTCTGAAGTCATACATGCGCAGTACAAAGGCATCTGTGATGAAGACAAGGGAGAATAGTCCACCTTGTGCTGTGGAAACTAACAAGAACCTGCCAGCAAGTAAAGGCTCACAAACTTCGCAAGTCTTTACAAGTGCTAGCAAAAGACCAAGCTCATCTAAGGGTAAAACTTCCACTTCTTCAACAGAAGGTGTTGAAAGTTTGCCACGAAGGAAAGGAGTGGTCGTGAAACCAAATATACCACCAGTCTTGTTGAAAGGAATAAACAAAATGCAAAAGCTATCATCCTCATCACAGGCAACAAATAAATGCAGTGAAGGCCAGACCATGGTGCCATCTGCTGTAAGCACAGAGAAGGATGGCTTGAGTGTTTGCAGTAAGACTGAGAATAAAGAAAAGAGTCAAGAAATGGCAGCATCTCTACCCCACCATCTATTGAGTGGCCAGTGCCAGGATAACTGCAGTCAGTGTTCACTTGTTGATTTGTGGTTCACCATATGGCATGTTGAATTTCACAAGAAATAAAGTTTAAGCAAAGTATATACTTCAGAGATTTAGTGTATAGAGAAAGTAATTGTTTTTTTTCACATTCTAACATACTTAATATTCACTGGCCTATCAATATCATTGTTTTTAGTGCATAGCAAGAGCTGTGATTGACACTGTAGTCAATTCTAATATACTGTCAGCCAATAGGTATGCTTAAATTATGAACTAACTGCAAGCCATTACAATGAGGATAGAGCCAAAGTTACCCATATTCCCCTTTGCAATGAACACATGAAGAGCATATTATAACTATAAAGTGGGGATTGGATGAGATTATCCCTAGAAATTTATTGAATTGTTGCATTTGTTGTAATATTGTGAATGTACTACAAAGGATATTAAAATTATTTACATATCTCTGATCTCTGTTGGTCTTGAGTTTGCTGTATGGTTTGTGTGGAGTCTGTCCAGGTTGAAGTATTTATTGTAGTGCTATTTATTTGGCTGTTTGCCAAGTTTCATCAAAACATTTGCAGGGAATGAAATATAATATTAGACATTTTTTTGTCTTTATTTCTACATTTTGTCCTTATGACTAATGGGGGTTTTTGTGTATATTGTTAAAAGTCTCAATCATGCTTACTAATGACTAGTAACCTTGCAATTGTACATGTTCTGTACAGCTATTTGGTAGTTTTATGAAAGGTTTATCAATGAACAAAATGTCTATATATTTTAAATATATAAATAAAAGAAGATGGTGTTTTTCTCATACCTCATTGTGTATTGCATGCACACAGTATTTAACCCATTGCCGCCGGGGAAAATGAATAAAAAATGGGGAAAATGCTGTGCTCATGTTTTATATTCTTTTGTGAAATGTCTCTACACTCTGCCTTACCTGATTTCACCTTTCCTTGAATTGGGGGGAAACTGTATTTTTTACTAGTGCTATGAATATCGATGGTGTTATTTTTATTAAAAGCACTATAATTACTATAATGCCATAAACATTAGTGTATAAATAAGATAACGTAAAATATTTTTGAAAATTAAAGAAAAGGGTGAAGGGGCTAGACAGGCAGTACTCGTAATTGGCTCATTGGTGGCATAGTACAAGTGTAGCCATCTATGTGTAAAAACAATCAAATAAGTAAACTCACAGTGGGCATGGCATGGCATGCTTGTTGGCAATGGGTTAATATAATTAGCTCAAATATTTAGGTGATACATTAAACTCTGTTATTCTTCAACGTTTATTTCACATGTACAGACGTTAGATACAGAAGATTCAATAGCACTAAAAGATGTGAACATCAGAAGGGGCACAGTTACATACAGCAAGGCTGAGAAATGGGTTATAGAGAGGTCTACTGGAGTGAGACCAGAGGTAAGCAAGCTAACTCACATTTGTCACTCAGGTGACTACAACAGACACATAAAATTAGATACATCACTAAAAACCTTGTTAGGGATTATACATTCAAGTCTGTTGATATTCACTGTGTAAACAGAATGCTGGATGTGGGAACATCTCACTCTGGAGCTACAGATCACACCTCAAAAATTACTTAAATAATTTGTTTTACACCTAATTTATTTATATACTTAATATGATAAATCTTTAAAATCTCCATTAAAGAATCGAGTGCCAACCTATTTGTACAATAAATAATTTCAAGAATGTCTTTGCTGGGAGGGATGCCTTGCCAAAATGCTGAGGTTAACTTGCTAAGTTCAGATTCTCCTACTTATTACAGCTGGAGAATGTATCTCCAAGGACTACAGATTATGAAGGAAAAATACAGCTTTGTCAGGTAAACTATCCACTAGCATTTTTATATTGGAGATTTCATTAACAAAGTAAACCATAAGCACTAAAAGGTTGCAGATGAAGGGTATTTGTAATGCTCACAATTCTAAGAAGTAAAGAAAATTTAATCCAAAAAGTATCAAAATCAAGTTGTAAGTTATCAATCAGTCTGGGTCTCTATACAAAAATAAAAGTGAAAGTAGACTTGAAACTTGCAAACAATACAATGTACAGAACTGCACAACACTTACATTACTTAGTTTTCATGACCTAACAGAACCATGACATCATTTGCTCTTTACCGCATACAAACTCCCTATGTAGGAAACATGAACCCAAAAGTTGGTAGTCCATCAAGACCTATAAATAATTCACAATAAACAGCTGCCAAAAATTAGCATTCTAATCTAATGTCTGACAAAGTCAAACTCAATAGATATGTTCTTTTAATGCAGAGGTTACCAACAAAAGAGAGACAGAAACTGGATCCTCTTTTGGCCTTGCTTGCATCTCCTCTGGCCATGTTATTCATTCTGGGTAAAAAAGAGTGACACAAAACTGCACTAATTTACCTTATCATACAAAACTGAATGTCAACATGACAGCCCTTTGTGGCTGGATTAAAAAAGGAAAGACTTACAGGTCAACCATGCTATGGTCACAAACTCCATCTTCATAACCAACTTGCTAGGCTAGAGCACATCTAAATTTAGTCTATTTACAGTGACACTTATATTAATTGGTTTCTTCAAAATAAATAGATACAAAAGAATAGATTATGTACAACCAAACTCTAAAGGCAGTCATGATATTATGAGTTTTCATTAAATTAAACTTTAGATCATGGTATGCATTCTTTTTCTGTGTATTAATGTTCTTTTCCATAAATAAATGGATTCTGACAAAAATATTGCCATTTCTCTCAAACATGATTTAGTAATCAATATATGGCATCTAAATTACTTTAACATGTAATCAACATGCATTAACATTTGTAATAATTATGTATAGCATTAAGTAAAACTGGAATGAATATTAATAACATTACTTAAGAATATTCCATCACTCCTTGTTCTTAACACTTAAACATGTGCCCAAAAATATCAAATCTCTAGAAAATAGGGTAGGTACTTTTATTCTTGCTCAGCAGACAAACTTTCTAGCAATATGCAACAACTGCCTAACAGAATTAAATAAATCTGTAACTGCAGTTGTCTGCAGTCAAGCCAGTATCACAAGTGATAGCATGAATTGGTCCATCTTTGAAAATAAGACTCAATACAAATCTCAAGTTAAATATATAAAGTTTAATTAATACTCTTCATCATCCACAGAATCTCAATGACAGCCTGAATGTAAACAACTGCTAGTTACAGTGCAATAGACTATAAAACGGTCCAGTCAAACCATGACATAAAAATGACTATGGTGACTCTAGAGCAAGATTTATAACTGAAGAACTTTCTCCATACCTCAAAAATATTTAAAAAAGGCAGATATTTCCAACTTCAACACAACTTTCAAGTCCATCACTCAACATCAGAGACACATAAAACATCACAATAGTACATAGACAACAATTGGCTGACTTTTCAAAGACACTAGGATTTGAGAATAACACACTGATGCTTCTGCCCCATTTTGACTAACAAGTCCGCTTCTCTTGGATGTTATTAAGATAATTGTACATCATTATTGCATTATCTGCAGTGCTCTTCAGTCCCATACACTGGCAAGATGAACTGCAGACTATTGTAAATTTTTCTCAAGAAACACTACAACAAAGCTGCAGAAATCTACATGAAACTATTATCTTCATACTTGCTGAGCTCTTTACAAGATGTACAGCTGCAGATAACAGTTTATGACATACTATGTATGCAACATTTCCTCAAGCTAAGGACTTGAGAGCATTACACGAGAGGCATCATAGCAGGTAATGAGGAGCAGGCAATGTTCTCTCTGGTATGCCAATACTGAGTCATGAATAAACTGACAAACCTCATTTCAAGTATGGTAAAAGCTTCAACCTGCTGCTCACGTTTGACTCATTCAGCATCAGTTGAAATTATCATCACATATTTTTGATAACAGTATCTTAATGACAAGTATAATACATTTTGTTGATTGGTGGGAAAGAGATCAGCACTTCTTTTGTTTCAGTAGTGCTTGGCAAGCTCAGTTTCCTATACACAAAATAGGTAATCGAAACTTGATCAAAGCATTATGAAACACTGGGAGAAGTTATGATCTTATTAAATATCTGGATATCTTGGTTGGTGACACTTGATTGTGGTAATTATGGTAGTTATAACACCTGGAATATCCACACAAAAAATAGTGAAAGATGAATTATCTCTTTCACATGCTCTGCCTAGACCCTTGGGTATGTCATGATTCCTCTTTGGCTTATTTATAATTAAAAGACTGTCTACACTACATTTCTCCAAACTCTTCAATCAGTACCTTTTAATCTCTAAATTCTGCCTGGCATATTGATAATGACAAAGTAAAACTTACAAAACAGCCTTATCTACATAAATCATTGCAATGAACTGACCAGACTTGTCAATATTACCCGAAGAGTACATGGAATGTCCTCTGGCTTCTTCAACACATAACAATTGCAGACCTTCCTTGAAAAGAAATGTGACTAGGCTTGCAATATTACAATTCACAAAAGAACATTAAACTGCCCTTTGAATCTTAACTCTGTTTAACAGGTTTAACTTCACTTTCTTTTTGCTAATATCAGCCAAGCTAAGAAGGAAAAAATGTTACCAAACTTATGGGCAACATATACAAGTGCTGTACATCTATCTTAACATCTCTTAGGAAACCTTACAGATGTGTGTAATAATTCCTCTTCACTTCAAACAGCTTCAAATTGTAAGTAAAATAAACAGACATACATGCTGTATGTATGTACAAATGCATACATACACATATGCACAGGGACACAGACACTCTTACACATAGACAGCCAGACACACACAGACACAGACACACACACATATACACATACACACACACACATCAAAATATTGCAGGCATACAAAAAATAATTGGGTAGTATGTATATATACTTTCTTTTAACTAGGAGTATTCGTTCTCTTCACCTACGTGTTTCCATGCTTATCTTATTGCCTAAATGGAGTGTAAGTTTACTTCAAATGCTTGCAAAGAAGTACTGCCTATTCATTACACCTATAAGAAGGTGATGAGGCAGTACATCTCATAACAATAACCTGTCCTAAGTTTCCAACCACAATATTTTATGTACCAAAGGGTCTAGGCAGATTTCTATGCTTAGCAGCCATTGCCAGCAGTTTAGGGAAGAGGGACTACCACATTAACATAACTGACAGGGAATAGCCCACTCTTTCCATTAAGAGTTCCTTCAAACCAATTCTCATCAATTCGCTGGGTAAGAGTGATAGTGTCACCCTCCTGTGGGTAGAATGAGGAAAATGTTAATTCTATGAAATTTATGTTTGCAAAAAGTGTTGGCAAACATTTTTTTTCTATAACATACAAGATTTATATCACATTGTCATCTACAAAATACTAGAGAGAGAGAGAGGGGGGGGATAGGGGGAGGAGGGGGGGTAGGGGGAGGAGGAGTGGGGAGGGAGGGAGGGAGGGAGGGAGAAAGAGAGAAAGAGAAAAATAGAG